TGTGTTCTTTAAATTCGTTGAATTCCTTGATCATGTTTATGATTGTTCTTTTAATTCAGTGTCCTGGGTTATCTCTAGGGGTTCTCCTTGTAGACCTCTTCTACAGGACTGGTGGGCTTTACTGGGGACACAGTGTTTTGGTTTCCATGTTTTTATTCTTTCATTGTGGTTTTGTCATGTGAATTTCTTTTGTTGTTTATGATTCTGATATGAGAAATAGGTTGAAGTATGTTTCTGTTTGTATTATCCAGGTGCCTAGATCCTTTCTTTATTGGTTATATAAAGCTGGTTGGTACAGGGTTCAGGTTCTCTCAGGTTGAATTTGGAGGGAACGGATGGCTTCAGATCAGCTATTCAGGAGTACCCACAGAATCCCAATTTGGGTTCCAGTCAGGTACACTCGGGCTTCCTTCACCATGTGGGGACAGGATCCAGGCGGGCTCAGGCAGTCCACCTTCTCAGGTTGTCTGTTAGGATCTCAGCCTTAGCCTACCAAAGCCAGATCTGCTCTGGGTCCTTGGGAGGGGCCTCACAAAATCCCAGGTAGGGGGATGGTATGGCACAATTAGCAGAAACTCACCACCACGTGGAGGCAGGATGGGGACTCTCAGGCAGTCCCCTGCGTTCTCAGTCCCTCTGCCTGAGGGAGGCCAGAAAGAGGCCAGCTTGTCTACGTCTTTAACCTTGCTCCATCCAGCCTCTTTCCTAGACAAACTGCACTGGTTTTTGTTTTGTGTTGTGTTGTTATTTATTTATTTTTGGTCTTTTTGAGACAGGGTCTCCCTGTAGCCTCAGCTGTCCTGGAACTCACTATGTAGACCAGGCTGGCCTCAAACTCAGAGATCCACCTGCCTCTGCCTCCCGAGTGCTGGGATTAAAGGCGTGCGCCACCATGCCTGGCATGTGTTGTTATTTTTTGCTGTGTTTTGAGGGGAGGGTTATTGGGCTTTTTGATTTTGTTTGGTTTTTCCTCTGCTCTTTTCTCTGCTCTCACTGTAGAACTGACCAAATCTTGAAGGTACAGGCAGAATACAGCCAGAATCCTTACTAGACTCTAACAAGAATGGCCTCTAGGGGCTGGAGAGATGGCTCAGCAGTTGAAAACCCCGGCTGCTCTTTCAGAGGGCCTGGGCTTGAATCCCAGCACCCACATGGCAGATAAAAAACATCTGTAACTCAAGTTCCAGGGAATCCAACACCCTCTTCTGACCTCTGCTGGTTCTGCACGACACAAGTGCACTTACATATATGCAGGTAATACACTCATATACATAAAATAAAAATAATTAAAATTTAATTTAAGAAAAGCCTCTAACGTAGTTTAGAGTCCCTGCTCCCCTCTGAAACCTCAGGAGCCAGCCTCCGCTGTCTGCATTTCAGTCTGCCGAGCTCCCGCCAGCATGGCCCACTGAGCTCTGCTTACAACACCCTCCAGCTTCTTTAACCCATGGCTGTAAGCTCTTCTAAAGGTCAATGAGCCATCATCAGGATTATCTCAGCAGCAGCCCCAGTCCTCAGTACTGACCACTGTTCTATTCACTCTGACAAAAGCCACTTATGGGTGGGGGTGTCTTGACCACAAGCTAAGGGTGTAGTTCATCCTGGGGAAGGTAAGGCAGTAGTCCTCAGTACTGACCACTGTTCTATTCACTCTGACAAAAGCCACTTATGGATGGGGGTGTCTTGACTACAAGCTAAGGGTGTAGTTCATCCTGGGGAAGGTGAGGCAGCTGGTCACATCATGTCCATGTCCGCAGTCAGGAAGCAGAAAGCAGGGCAGTGAACGCTGGTGCTCAGCTCACTTTCTCCCTTTGTTTGTTTTTATAATTCTGTGTTTGAGCCCCAGGCCACACACTCATTCAGGGTGGGTCTTCCCTCCTCACTTAAGCCTCTCTGGACATGCCTTCAGTACACCCAGAGGTGTGTCTCCCTGGTGATCCTAAATCCTGACAAGTTGACACCGAAGATGTTTTTCTTATAAATGCTTAGCTACAAAGAGAATGTACAGCAGGGATCACCAAGGGAGAGTGGCACACAGGGTCTGGGGTAAGGGACATGCCTTGGGGCTGTGTCGTCATGTGTATCCCCTGTGCCCCCCTCTCCCCTGTACATTTTCAAGAACAGGGAAAGCTGTAACCCTGACTCTTGTCCTGGCCCCGTGTGGATTGGGTGTCTCTCCACAGTGACTTTGGCTTGTCAAACCTCACGTCCCCTGTCTGTCAGATGACTGCTCCAACTTTCTGTGCTAGGAGACTTCACAGCGAGCTCAGGGCAGGGTCACAGGGAGTTGCCCAGACTGACAGTGAGTGGCGTCACAAGCCAGGATATGGAGGTGATGGGTGGAACGAGGGGAGGGTGGGAGGCAACATGAAACCAGAGCCTAAATCCACAGTGACAGGGAGACTGGGTCAGGCCTGGCTCCCGGCTGAACAGCCTTGGGCGGGACACTCACATCACTGAACCTCAGATTCCTCTCTTTAAGATGAGACTGGACTGGTTACCATGGTGATGATGGAAGCCTAGCAGGACATTAGCAGTGTAGAATGACAGAAAGTCCCCCAGTGTTAGTGGCTTCAATGATCTAGAGCTTTCTCCCTGAGTCATATGGCGTTGGGCATTCAAGGCCAGATGCTCTGCTCCACAAAGCTCCTAGAGACCCAGATGTCTTCTTACCCAGGGCTCAGTGCTCTGCCACACAGTGTGCCTGCAAGATGGTGTCCTGATCATCAGCTCTGCGCATACAGGAGAGGCAGGAGGAAGGTAAAGACTTCTATGACAGGGAACTTCCTGTGGGGGGCTGAATCACATGACTAGTCCATGCGACTAAGACCTGAGGCCTGACGTCTCTACCTTGATTTAGGACAACCCTGGGAATAGCCTCACTCTGGAGCTGCCCAAGTAATAGAGGGATGGGCCGAGGCCCCAGCTGCAGTGCATTTGTCTCACCCCCTCATTCCCCATGAGTGGGACCCAGTGTCAGGTCCTAGCCAACTCCCCACATGGAAACTACAGCACATACATACTAACCCCACCCCCACACACACTCACTAGTACAGTAAATAGTAATAATGAATAAATAAATGTTTAAACAGACAAAATACAGTGTCAAGCCTGACAGAGTGATGTAAGGAAAGAGGGTAAGGCTTGGACGCAGTCTCCCTCCCTCCCTCCCCTCCCT